CGTGCTACAGTATTCTGGACCCTCTGCAGACGACTAGTTAGTTTGTCAGATATTCCACAGATCAGGGCGTTACCATAATTCAACCGAGAGGTAACAAGTGAATGCACCAAAATCTTGCTTGCATCTGCAGTTAAAAACTGCCGAATACAGCCGATGTTCCTGATCTGGTAGTAACAGGATTTGGCAATAGCGTTCACTTGTTTCTCCATGTTCAGTAAACTATCAAAATATACCCCTAGGTTTTTAACAGCTGGAACAGTCTCAATAGTCCTTGTATATTCCAGGCTTCTTTAACAATGGTCTGATATGTGCCTTCTTGAAACATAATGGAATTTTTGACTCAGCCAATGATTTGTTCCGTCTTTTCCTGATTAAGCTTAAGCATTTTGGCGTTCATCCAGATACTGATATCTGTCAGACAAGCTTCCAGACTTTCCGAGACTGTATTCCAACTGTCCTGTGGTTTGATGAACATGTAAATGTGTGTGTCATCGGCATAGCAATGATAGCGACGGCTATGGCGACGACAAATCTCTCAAATCGGTTTGGAGTAAATACAATATTTTCGTGGTCCTAGCACCGACCCTTGAGGAACCCCGAAATCTAGTAGTTTGTCATGTGAGGTGGACGATCCGATGGCAACACACTGTCGTCCCTCACTCAGGTAAGACTGTATCCAGTATAGTGCGGTATCAGTCACTCCATAAGAGTTTCCAGACGTTTATAAAGTATGCCATGGTCGATGACGTCAAATGCAGCTGACAAGTCCAGCATGACAACCACTGCTCTGCACTGGTTATCCAATGCAGAAGCGATATCATTATGTACACGTAGGAGGGCCGTCTCAGTAGAGTGTCCCATGAGGTAGGCAGATCGCATGTTGTGATAGAGACTGTTTGCATGGAGATGAACCTCTAAGCGCCGGGACACAACCTTCTCCAAAATCTTAGATAGGAAAGGCAGATTTGAAACTGGGCGGTAGTTTTTCAACTCCTCCTTGTATATTCCAGGCTTCTTTAACAATGGTCTGATATGTGCCTTCTTGAAACATAATGGAATTTTTGACTCAGCCAATGATTTGTTCATGATTGAGGTAATCAAAGGAAGCGGTGCTACAAGACATTGCTTTAATAGGTCTGTAGGCAGTGGATCAAGCTCACAGGACTTCGATTGCGAGGTCATGATAATGTTGCGCAACTCGTCCTGGGTTGTTCGGTGAGAGCTTTGCCCATGGTTCCCCATCAAATGCAATGTCAGTAGTCATGACAGAGATGTCAATGTCAGCAGAGGTGTTCACTTCGGCAATACTTTTCCTGATTTAGCTGATTTTATTCAGAAAGTAATCACTGAACTTGCTTGCTTAGTCTTTTTCAGAAGTACAGCTTGGTAGGATAATTTCACCTTTCTGTCCCATTATGTTTTTGGTGAGTCTAAAAAGCTGTCTATTATCCTTCCCGCATTCTTCGATTCTTTTTAATGAAAATAATTTGTCGTGAGGAAATAGTGACCTTCCTTATGATCACTTGATATATATCATAAGTATTCTACCCTATTAAAGGCACTTAAAACTTTCCAAAATTGTGAATGTGTAAAGATTGTAGAGATATACTTCATACATGTAACACATAACACAAGAATGATATAAAAAAAAAAACAAGCACAAAAAAAATTTTTGACATCGAGAAATAAATAAAAGCCAAGGGTATTACTTCTCTTAACCTTAGCTGTTAATTGAAGTTAAAACCAAATGAAACCAAATAAAACCAAACCGAAATAAAGCCACACAAAAATGTAAACCACAATTAAACGTATGAACGTTATGGACGTTTGTTAAAATGAATATGTTGTTACATGGACCTGATAAAGTGATATTTACTGAGAGCAAGGCGAGGTCAATATCATTTTCTTAATATTATGTCCATATTACCACATATCACCGATATAAAAGCCCTTAAATATTATATTAGATGTTAAATTATGTTTAAATAATTAGAAATAAATAACACATTGAAAATGTACGGAAAAGCACTGTATTTGACAGGGAGCATTGTAACGTTATAATCGAAATTTCGTCATAAAGTGACTATTGTCCTGATGTTTCTTAACATATTGAGATCGGGTCAATATCATAAATCACCGACCTCCACGTGATTACAATCAAACCAATGAGGACATATGAATTAAGTGTGTTATCTAGTATAAAAGGTATTTGTACAGCTGTCAATCAAGTGTCTATAAATATCTGCATGAAAGTATAGAAATATTTAGAGGAAATTGTATTCACGAAAAACTGAAAAGGCCTTATGCTAATAAATGATTAGAAAAACCGAAATGGGTACAGTGAAGGTATACATTTTCCGAGTATGGTAATATCATATGTGAAATTTGCATTAAAGGGGCATGTTGAGTTGCAAAAGGAGCATAGCTCCCATGGAAATAGTCAGATTGACATAAATGAGCGAACGTGCATAGTTTTAGAGTACAGTGATTACACCAAAAGTATTTTAAATGCTGGGATGAAAACAATACAACTATATTCGGAATTACATTTGTAGTAGGAAAACGGACATGTTTACTTCCGTTGCGGGGGTATTTATTAATATCCAAGCATGTCTTTCCTGGTGGTTATAAACAATGTTATACCTGTATGCACAAAGAAAGACTATTTTTAGAAATAGAAATTGAGAAAGCACCTACCCAGTGGGCACAAAACGTCCTGAAAACATTACAGTAACGTCAGGACACAACGTTGCATTAAGGTAACAGTAAAGCTGCAAATTTAAGTTTGCGGGACGTTTTCATGTAACTTTCGCAAAACGTTTGTGTGTAACGTGTTGACAACGTGTTATTAACGTTGTAAAGACGTTGTCGCCACGTCGTATTTATAATCTAATATATACAGGGGTTCGCAACAAATATCTTGAATACATACACATATGATATGCTGATATGAATCACAGCACATCAGCATAATTAGCATATGTATTTATAAGATATTTGTAACGAACCTTGTAATTTAGTCGAATAAAGAACAACAAACACAGAGTTAGGCCTACAAGTGCAAATGTTTAATTGGCAGTTTGAATACGTTTGTAAATATCAACTTGAGTTAATAATTGTATAAGTTTTTGTACTTCAGTCTGCATTTTGTCAAAGTACACAAAACCTTTTTGGACTACACATAAGCGCAGACAATAGTTATTGAAAACGAGAAGGCATGTGTCAGATGTTTACACACGCTCTGTCGATTTGTTTTTAAACATATATTAAACGTGTCAAAATGCACAATAGCTTACCTTAGTTGATATTGAAACATCTTCAAACATTCAGACTGTGACGCAAGCTATTAATAATAATCCAGTTTGGGTGACTATATAACCTGTGGTCAGTCTGAATCGAATGGGCAACCAAAGAACCGGAAGTACAAAATACCGCGCAGATCTTTGTGTTATTTTTCTTTCTGTCTTTATACACCAATTTCAACATACACAATGTAAATTATCTTTTATTTATGACATTTCTAAGCAACTTAGATGCTACCGATATCAACAATTAATAAACAGAATTTATTATATTATATAAATGGGATGCTGTCCTCTAGCGGACAAATTTTCAAAATAAGGGAAGACAACACCAAAGTGATATGGTCGTTATATCGCTGCTTCGGTAAGAATATTTGTATAGTTATTGAAATGTTTGTTTAGCCATTACTTGAATATTTTTTTAATGCATTATTTCAAAAAAAGCTTTTTTTTAATAAATGTTTTGTTACATATGTAATAAATATCTCTTTTATGAAATTAAATTAAATAATTCCCGCATACATCTCAATTTTACTCAATCGTCTCGCTACGATCATTGTGTTTTATACTGATGATACAAACTACTAAGTATTCGCATTTTTTTTTATTTGAAGTGATTTTATCATAATAACTGTAAAGTAAGTAAAGTAAACTTATTGCAGCGTTACTACAACGTCTTTTTCAAACGTTGCCCTGACGTTTCGAAAGAGACGTCCACATAATGTTGCGTTTAAGTCGCAGACGTTATGACCAGACTAGGACGTTTTCCGGACGTTCTCCGAACGTAGCGTGCCCACATACGATTTTTATCTCGTATCTTTGACTTTTCATCTTTTTATTGCTTTGACAAATATGAACAAAAAGGACGGACAAAAGTTACAAACCGAGTTGTATCAGCAGAACAAGGGTAATACCGTGGCACCAACAAAGTTTTGTATGAGAGACATTACTACTTGAAAGCTTACCCATATCGCATGACCGAGTCGGTGCTGTTGCAGATCTCAAAAAGTTCATACACTTTAAATTGAATCGGAGGTCACCACGAGGGATCTTGATAGGAAAACACGAAGCCCTGTTTGTAAGTAATTAATGTGATTCAAGTTTTGCTATTCATGTTATCAATTCTAGTCCGGTTCATCCCTTCACTTCTACCAATGGCATTGTTTCTCATAATTTGTTTTCAAAAATATATTTGCTGCTCATAGAGGTCCTATCTCATCATTAAATGCCGAACAGTTCAGAAAATAACACTCAATTGCGAAAGTATTAATAAAACCGTATCGCCTGATACTTTCGCGGGGATGTTATTTTCGCGATTAAGCAGGTCAATAACGTGATCGTGAAGAATATGATCCGCAGAATAATAAGACAAGCGTAAAAGTGAGATCCAATGAAAACGTTCATAACCATTAAGTCATGAAATAGTGAGTAGTTGGCTGTAACGGTTTATTAATACAAGATGTTTGAAAATAGATTACTTAATGTCCCTTATTCATTTGATTATTTTACAATTTATATGACGAGTGTACCGTCGCTGCGGTAAACCACTGCAATAATTTAAATCCTTCACATGTCTAGATTATATTCTGTGTAAATTGAATTTTCTAGTTTTGGGTCAAAACCTTAAAAACTTTAACCCATTGTACGTTATGACCCACGCTTTTTGCAGTTAATTTACTATATTGCTAAAATACTTACACCTGGTGTAGCTTCGCCAAGAGGACAACAGGATATATCAGTATTATTAAAACCTACAAAAGTAGACAAAAATATAAATAAAGTAAATATAGAACTCTAAGCGGCGTGAAATGCTCGTCTTTTTTCGCGTTAAGTAAATTGACGAAAACAAATCCCCACACAAATATTTATTTTTTGATTATATAAATTACAGATATATATAATAACTATAAAGGACAGGTTTTGACAAGTTGACAAGTGATACCGAAATGGAGACATTTGACTGAGTGTCTTATTTTTCTATAATAACTTAAAATGAACAAAAATAATTATCATGCATACAAGTGTTTGTGGCACCTGTTTACCTACGTTGGCAGTTCGCTCACCTTTTTAGACCGGGGTTCTTAATAGATCGAAAACTAAAACCGTTCCCCACGACATAAACAGTACAGAGCGGCCTCCTTCGTCGGCGTCACTCCTGCCAGTGCTGTGGAGGACATTACTGACGATTCGGGGACTTGGTAGAGGTTTGCAGGCCACACCGAGTTGTCGTGGAATATCAATACCTGCAGGCATAGCGACAACAGTATATCAGCGAGAGTAGGGACATTTATACAAAACAAATAAATACAATTTTGATAATCCCGTTTATTTTTTTACTTTTAAAGAATGTTCAAAAGTATGCATGCTTGGTGAATTTTGATATTGAAAAGAGAACTGTCACGTCAATGATTTTTAGAGGAATACTGGATTTAACTACATTATTGAATCGGATTTGAGAGAAAGTCTTCAATATTTCTTAAAGTAAAATATCTGTCATTCTTTTGAAAATAAAGGGATAAAAAGAGACGTCAAAGGGGGTACGGCATAAGGTGAGTCACGCCTTGCACATTTACGATCATTTTGCTGAATTGCGAAAAAGAGTAACTAATTGCTAGCCGCCACGGAGTATAGGTAATATATCTAAATTAGTGTAGAATTGTCAGTGACAGTCTAAATTGTAACCCCTAAGTTATAGTAAATGGAATAAAAATACCCCTATCCTCCAAATTAGAACTCTAAAGCAACACTCACAACGAAAACTCATCTCAACCCAATAACCCTTCCCAAGTCCGTCGTCCTAGATTATCACCGGAACAAGCACGCAAAGACCCATCAATCAATCAATCAATCAATCAATCAATCAATTTATCTATCAATCAACATACCATCATCGTATGCCGCCGGTAGGAAGCGAAGGTACGGAGTCGTGGCGGATCCCCATGTGGGGTGTTGTAAGTTGTTACAAGTGCCGTCGGCCGTGCGGTACACTGCGGTAACGGAATGTTACAGTGGGAAGAAATCTGCCTCCTCCATTCCCTGATCACGTAAGGGTTGCATTGAAGAAGACGGTGTGACGTATTTGTGAGAATGACATTTAAACAGTTTTACCAAGAAAGTGAATACTGCATACCGGGAAATTTTCAACTTGTTCGCCCTCCGTAATGAGGGGTAATTTATCACGAAGGCAACATTATAAAACAACATAATAAATATAGTATTTAAATTTGAAGAGCTAAAGTATAACTGGTCGAAAATTCATTTTACCGGCGAACGGTGAAAGTGTGACAGGGCGAAAAGGTTTCGGCATACCGTATATAAAATCGCGTTAAAGCCTCGGAATCAATACACGAATGAATAAAACTATCATTGACTGTTCGATTGTTTCTTTACACACTTTTCGTTAAATAAAAATAAAAATAAATAACTTGAATTTAATGCCTCTGACATAATCTGATATTACTATTGAGTATTAGAAGACGTTACATTTTTTACTAGTCATCAATTTAAACGGTTTTTGTATATTTCTAAAATACTAGTATATTATCGTTTCATTCGAGCAGTCAAGCATATTTTGATAGTGAGTAAAGAAATTATTTAAAACTCCAGATGCATTGTGGGCATAAAATATATTGTTGTTCCTTCAATGTTCAATAAGCAAAAGATACCTAGGTAATCCCAATGTTATTAAGGAATTTCACATTAGTCGCCTTAAATGACATGCAGTGGTATACAGCATATCTGTTCTTACTTTCTGTAATGTCTGTTATACAAATGATAATACAAAAACTCTCAAATTCTGCAGGAGCCCTAATTAGTCGGCTCTTACGACCATGCAATTGGATATAACAGGTATATTCTCCCCCAAACCTGCAGAGGTGAAAATATATCTTAAACTTAAATGTAAACAGTTTCATTGAATGACTAGCATTGATTCTGATATAGATTTCATTCATAACAAAACTTGTAAATCAAACCGATTACTAAAGACAATGAAGGATATATGATTTTTGTCAAATTTAAAAAAAATGAATACTGCCAGGAAAATAACATATTATTTTACAGGCGGACTAGCTCTTTCGTCGCTTTTACACTGATGTAGTTATTGTCACTAAATTGTGTGATAGACGAGGGGTCTGCTGTATGATAGACATGGGAGAACATCTTCCAAGGTGCAAACCCCATGCTGTGGCTATGTGACGTCATTGTATTCCCTGAAAAAGGAAGAAACAAGGGTCAAGGGTTCTCTTTAAAAAAAAGGGTTGTCATGAACGACAAAGGTTGTCACTTAAATCACTTAAACTACTAGTCTACATGGTTATATGTAACACTTTTGTATGTGCTAGACCGATTCAGGCCAAGTAGCCTCAACCTCCTTGTATTTACACGCTTATTAGTGACAGGTACACAATTGTTCTAACTAACTGCGAAGGGAAGCCTGATAGGTGAAATGAGTTAAGATATGGTCAATAAGATTCATCTGTTTGGAAATATGTGATACAAAAGACCGACAGGTCCCTTTGTCAAGCTATGACTCAATCCGTCATAACTTGACAAAAGGACCAGTCGTTCATGAAACGTTGCGACACGTTTACTACGAACTGTACATTGTTTGTGTAGAAAGTAAAAACTTTGATATGCATAACACGTTCCTATCAATTAGCAACATATGGTTGACTTATGTGTTTTATATTTCTTTTTGAATTAATATTTGATTGATGTTAAAATAATGGAAAACGTTACTTATTGACATCATGCCTAGCAACTATAGCATATCTGTTAACACACAAAACACATCGCACATGCGTCAGTACGAATGCATCCATCGAAGAGAAGAATGGTTTAAATGAGAATAACAAAATGTCAAGTTAATGTTAATTACACTGGCTCATGTACGTTATATTTAAAGTGAATAAATTACTTTAAGCGTGATTAATATAAACGTCAGGTCGATTGAAAAAAAATATCACGATTTTTATGAATGATGATCGATTGCCTTGACCTTTTAATTCAACTTGGCCTACCGGGAAGGCTATTTCCTTAAGCTATACGATAAGCTTGATACTTGCGATTTACCTGTCGTCAACATTCCCTTATTTTATGTATACGGTATCCTAGAGACAACCTTACAACACATGACTATGAGAGATGAATGCTACTGAAGAATGTTGTATTGCTTTAAGTCGACATCCTGAACTGATTGGGAAACACTTTTCAATATATCTTGTGTCCTAAAATATATTGAGAAAAGCTGCAAGCTTTTAACCTATACTGTATTAAAACATGTGTTAAGACTATGATTAAATGATGTACACCGAGTCAGCTAAGATTATAATTTTATTTTTATTTTATAGTTGTATTTATAGATGTATGAATGCCTTTACATCCACTGGTAACGTTGTGTTATCAGACATCGGAAGATTATAATAAGTCTAAACCAACACAGCATTAACATAACTTCTACCTGTGATATGAGTGGTTCGGACAAAAGAAGAAAACGACATTTGCATTTTTAATGTGTTAGCCACATTATCAGGCAATGGTGGCGTTGAGCTGACTTTATGTATGTTAATGTCACTCGCATTTTTTAGCTGGCTTAGCATCTTAAGCGTTATTATTACATTTATTGGTTTACGCTTTAAGTTATTTAGAGTTACTTAAAAAAAATCAAAAGAAATCTATGCTCACATGTTGTAAAGGAAGAATCCAATATCAGCTACTTGTTGACATTAATTGGACTATTCTAGAACTTGCTCCTGATCTGCATTTATAAATGATTTCAAACAATTACAGAGGTATTAGAGGGTTTATAACTGTATACAATAAGATAATTTCTTTTTATGATGTGTACATTTGAGTTTTTCCTTTACTAGTTTCGAGATACCGTATATACTGTGATGTGCTGCTGCTTCAAGCTAAATGGTTAACTTAATGTTATGAGATTTGCAAATAGAAGGTATGGAATTTGATCAAAGTAGATGATGGATTTGATTAATGACCTAAGCTGAGCTTCATATTGACCCTGATTATGACTTTACATTGTTATAAGATTTGCCAAAACACAGGTATGTCACATTGACAGAAATTGATAGTCTGATTGACCTATGAGCTCATAAATATAGCCTTTATCCTGGGAGGTACGTGGCACATTGATCTTTTGTTTCTTAAGGAAGCTCCTACTATGTATTTATAACTTATGTTGGCAGGCTTATTAAGCTTTTTATAAAACATATCTTCTAAAGGGAAAATCATAGCTTGCGTTACATTTATGAAAATTTATACAGATGAAATAAACAAAACATTATCAACCCCAGTGTACACATTCAGCGGTTGTAGACCGGAATTCCTAAAGAGCTCATATTGGAAGAGGGTATTACCGCATTTAAGACCTGGGTTGGTTATCGTATATAATTGGTGGTTGGGGCGTAACCATATACAAGAGGAGGAGGAGGAGGGGTTACCGTATACAAATATGTTAATATTCTTATCATGAAGTAGTATTTGTAAAGATTCCTTACTTCGAAAAAATAGATAATGTAATAGTGTTTGCAGAAAGAAGACATGTGTGTTTTTATATGCCGACACAAATAAATACAGATCATGCAGATCGCTGAGTTTGATTTGGACATCGGGGTTAAGAAATACAGACATGAAACCGTTTTGTGTTCGCCATTGACGCAGATTAAGCAGTCATTTTCACTGTGTTATCTGGGCTCGCAAGCCCAACACATTGGTGCTGAATACTCTGTGACAGGAGAAAACTCCTTATCCTGTTCACTGGTATACGCCTGTAGTTTTACAAATATTTTGGTGGAAACTTCCTTTATTTGTTAAAGATCTACCGTATATCTGGACATATTTGCTGTAGTGTTTTTCGCCCACAGCAATGATGGCGCATTTTAAACTACAGCGAACATTAGTTAACAAAATAATATATATACATAGTAATTAAAGGTGAAGGACGAAATTAACACTGGGCGAATATGGATTATTCTGGCGAAGGACGAAAGTTTTACTGTTCGAAAATTCCCTTGTGAAAAGTAAATTTTATTGTCCAACTTGACTGTGTAAAGTA